AATTGATCCGCGTTCCCGCGCCCTCCTCTCCAGGATCGAACCTGTGCAGGAGTTTTCTCCCGCCGTCATCAACGGCTTGCCAATGCCAGTCCCCGCACACGGCTCGCCCTCTTTGACTCCGGTTTACTGCAAATATCATGAACTCAGGCTCAGGAAGGCAGAATCAGCTCTTAAAATCTCGATAATCATGGCGATCGTGGTGGTCGCTCTGTCACCGTCCTCATTAGGTATACCAAATGACACCCCTTTCTCGATTGCATCTGTCGATCTGCCCAATGTCTCGCGAGGCGCGTGATATTGCGCACGCGCTTGATACAGTCTGCTCTATCGCTGTTCGGTGACCCTAGAAACAGTGACACTAGCTCGTCATCTGCCTCACGACGGCTTACCTTCTGGAGAGAAGGTCAATCGCTCACATTCGTATCCGGCTGGTTCCTCAGCACGCGAGAAGCACGCGGGTCTCCAAAGGTACTCGTTCGTCATATAAAGGACATCTGCTTTCATGCTCCCTGCCACCGACAACCATGTCGGCCGTCTCCTGGTCTGCCATGGCATTGAGTATGTTATCTATCATCGTGGTGCGTCTCCTATCTTGTACACTCGCTCGACATTTTTCGCGGAATTGGCCTGATACGGTATTGAACAGGTACCCCGGGCCCGCATAGAAGTTGCCACTGTGGCCAGCCTTCTGGATTCCTCCCTACCTGTCGAAACCCTTTGTCACATCTTTCACGCCCTCCAACACCTAGATCCACCTCGTCCTCATCTATCAATTGGTTGGATTGCTGTCACCCATGTATCGGTCAGATGGAGAACGGTGGCACTTCAAGATCGATCTCTCTGGACAGACATTCCATTCGTCCTCGGATTGAAATGGGCACGAGCTTTCGTGCACCGCAGTTCGCCCTTGCTCTTGAATATGAATCTCTCCCTCGTATTCTCGCCATGGATGGAGGACTTTATTGCTCGAAACTATCATCGCACTCGCGGCCTGGACGTCTCTCATTCATTGCCCAGGCTGGCGGATCGCGTGGTGGATGCTCTCAGCTCCGTCCCCCGCGCGTCCATCGAGAGACTAGTTCTCCAAAGGTCTTGGACCGAAATTCCCGGGCCATGGCTGGAGGCTTTCCAAGTGCCTAAACTCAAGACACTCGGCATCATCGTTCCTTTCATGAAGGCAAATCACGTCCCTTGGAGTATAATCCAGCTTCCTGATCTCACGCACTTGAAACTGGAATTTTCCGATGCGCTCACCGGGGCCGCTGCGATAGAGTTCGTCGCTGCCATGCGATGCTTGCGTATGCTTGCGGTATTCGAGATGCGCTGCCGTCAGGAGCGAGCAGCGCCGGCACGCAAGCTAGCGCAGTCGCAATTTCCCACCGATACACGCATTACTTGGAACGAGCTGGAACGGATGTCGTTGAAGGCAGACTCTCATACCGTATTTCAGCTCGCGAGCCTGATTGAGCGCCCACCTTCGACGGATCTCTGTTTGCAGACTACCAACTGCATCGATCGCGCTCTATTGGATACAGTGGCTGCATCTACTATCAAGCACTATGCTGCGTCTACACCATTTGACAAACTATGCATCCAGGACACCAACATTCTGAATACCCCATACGTACGGCATGAGACCCAATTTTGGGCTGCCAAACGCGACACTCCTTATCCTGAGCGATCAGGACATATTAGAGGACTAGACGGTCTCGCCACGCCCATAGATCAGGAGGATCCAAACCTCCTCTCTGACATACTGCTGAGCCTCAGGCCAGAATCAATCCGAGAAGTACGCCTAGCGCTGTCTCCCGGTCTCAATCTAGGAAGCTACTCGTGGGTTCCATGCATACATCACCTCCGCAAAGTGACGTACGCACGCGTATCTCCCGCCTACTCGCATCGTTTGGGAGTATCAATCTCAACCGCCATGGCGATACTTTTGCGTCGGGTACTGATACCGGACACTGACGCGGGTGGGACTCCACCTTTTCCAGAGCTCTCTGAATTAGATCTGTCAGACGCAAATGTCCTTGTTCTCGTCGGTCGATGCATCAGTCCTTTGGATGTGCACTCCCGCACCATGCCACCGACATTCGCAATGTTTTTGGTCGAGCTCTTGCAAAAGAGGCGAGCGCTGGGTGCACCTCTGAAGCGTTTATACCTCCCAGAGTGCTCAGGAGCTTTGTCACGCTTTGAGACACAGAATATAGACCTACTACGCCACCTACCTGAGGTAGTGTGGTGTCGTGTGCCGTCATATGTGGCGTGCTAGCAGTCCTATCACTGCGTACGTAGCAATGACCACGAGTGCTTAGAGATGTTCATTGATTACCTTCACAGGTTCGAGAGTTTGGATGAGAAACTCTGCAGCGTATTCCATAACGATAATTGTACCCACGATACGCAAACTCGTCTTTAGCTCCCACTCCTAGCTGATACACTAGACCCTGGAATTATTGTACTTTACTTGTATCGCGCTCTACCTAGACAATCCCAATCGCAAACACCTACTGTTACTGTGGTTATACAGGTTCCAATACCGTGCTACCATCTCATCAACACCCTCCTCAGACATCCATTGCATCCAAGTAGATTTGATGAATCAAGAACGTCGATGATGTGCGTACATCGCGGAAACCGTGAAGCATGGGACAGGCGTCTATGCGACTCCTTCGCCGTATTCCCGCTGATAGTGGTACGTCCCGCTGGCCATGCGCGGAAGTCTGAGCTCGAGCGGATCGCGTACAGGGAGCACGGCGGATACGTCGGCGGCCAGCTTGTGACAACACGGCCAGCGATGGAGGGCCTGTTCGCTCAGTGGCCTTATGCCCGCTCGCACCATCCTCACCACAGCTTGAAATGTGATCAATGACACGATATTCAGCTCCATACATACAGCGCGTAAAGTACAATGGAGTCCAGACAAATGAGAGAAGTCCGAACATGAGAGGAAGGTGAGAACAGTGGTAAGGGCACAATAGGACAGTGTGACGAGTATCAAGAGAGCAAGTGCGGCAACCTGCATGGTGATCAGGGACTGCAATTCGTAAATGAAGTGTGCCACGTTTACCAATCTGTGGGGAGATATCAGGCAGTCCGTATCGAGCGCAGAACAAGACAGAGCTAGACGATTGATCAGTCATAACCACAAGCACATATAGACGGTTGGCGTACAGCTTCGACGAAGTTCGTAGACACTGTAAGACGACGGTACGAGCTGCTGTCTATGTCCTCGCCAGGCCCGATCGCGAGTTTGACGAGAACGTCGCCCAGGCGAAGTTCGGGGCCGAATCGCGGAACTTGGCGTAAAGCTCGATGTCCTCGCGGTCAATGGCTTCCAGCCTACGCATATGTGTTAAGAACGCTTTGCAGAGCTGTCTGAGATGAGAACGTACGTTCAGCGGTATCAGTGCCGAGTATAAACTCGCTGACGATGCCGGCGAACGAGCCTGCATCGAGCATCTGCATTGAGCATGGCCGCGGGCGTATACCTCCACGGCATAGGTAGATTACTCTGGACGATCGTCAGTAGCGATCCGAAATAATCCCGAGGGATGGGCATAGAAGACTAGCATGAGCGCGAGGGGAGGTCGTGCTGAGGGTGGAAGTATGGGCGCAGGACAGCAGCGGGACAGCGCGGTAACGAAAGGAAGTAGAGGGTGGGGAGACGCGACGCGTACCTTGTACCAAGGAGGGATCAGGATGGTGATGGTAAGAGCCAACTCGCGTCTTCCACGACTAGCGTCTAAAGACCGGCGCGCGCGGCGCGACGCGTCCAATTTCGCCCGCCCGCCGTCTACGCGTGGCGATACGACGCGCTTGGCCGTCATGCCCCTACGTTAGTGCTTGGTCAGCGTAGCCGTGGACAGCATGAAGGCTATTGGTCTTAAGTCAGATTAGGCTGCTTCTAACGGCGAACCGTAGGCAGCACCTGTTGCCGAGTTGATGTTGACTACTTCGGGTGGTCGGGACGGGTAATGTCGACTGCGAGTCGAATGTAAGGCAAGCCGCAAGAGCGGACGACGTGAGAGAGAAACGGAGGAGAGAAGATGGTATCCTAGGGAAGCGGGAGTGTTGTAAAGCCAAGGAGCCGTCTCGAGTGAGCGGTGAACACATACATATGAGCAAGGGGCGGCGCAGGCCCGCGGAAGTAAGTGGCGAGAATACGAGACAGCGCGAGCTGGAGAGGAGCATCAGGCCTGTAGTGTAACCTACAGGCCGTCTTTCGAAGCGTAAGAAGCAGCGAGAGGTGGGTGGGTCAAAGTACGCGTTGCGACGCGTCGCGACGGAATCACTCGAGCGCGTGCCTCCTGCGCGTCTTGACGCGAGCTCTCACCCGGACCATCACGGCGGTGAAGAATGTAGGGAGATGGACGTCGACGCCTCACCATGGATTGTAATGAATCGCGACCGTCGTGTCGATGAGCAGAACACAAGGTGCTCGCCGCGTCAACACAGACTATTTCGCATGCTGGCTCTCATGCTGGCATCACGGCCGAAATGCTCGCGCTTGATGCCCGCGGTTCTGCTCACGCAGAGAACTCGTCCACACCCACAGTGAGATGTTCTCTTGCGCGCGGACGACTGCGAGGTGCACGGGTAGCGCGAGCATTTAACTCGCCGCTGACCAGCGCGCGCGGCGCCCGCCGCGTGCGAGGCCAGCTGCCCTTCGGCTGGGCCCTTGTAGTCTCATGCACCAGGGGGATGTCGAACTTGACGGTCTTCTTTGACGGAGCAACGCTTTCACATACTATTGGCTAGATGGTCATCTACATTCCACGATACTATAGATAGGCAGCCGCGCCGCGTACAAAGTGTCTCCTGAAGGACAGACTCTACACATAAAACCACATGAGAACGAGTCCAGTGCAAGACGAACTAAGCACACATGAAGGAACACTGAAGCGAAACGAATGTCTGGGACCTGACAGCCTACTCGGCGAACTTGATGCGAAGGTAGGCGGCAGCCCATTACTTGTCGTAACAGGGAACAACGCCGTGAGGGCCAAGACGCGTCAAGAGATAGGATGCGTGGCTGTGGACCTCCTTAGACGGCGGCATGCTGCGAATTCCGGGGTGGTGACAATCTCTTAGTTTCTCAGCGGCTGCCCATTGACGGATGCCGCGACGGGCCAGCACAATATACGAAGGTCGAAGAGCTGGCACTGAGACCCTCCGTAGCGTGAACGATCTGCTGCGCGTTCGCCGGCTTCCTCAAACTTCAGCGAACCATGAAGAGAATGTAGCCTTGCGCGGCCATGTATAAAACACAGGACTAGCATGGGAATGCGGCTGTGGCCGTAGCGTCACCCGATGTCCAGCAGGTAACGCGCCAAGGGCCGCGGATGCCGGGGAAGACAACGTCACCTGCGCGGACCGCACTGCCGGGGAAGACGCAGATGAGCGGAGGCATAAGGCTGGCGCAGAGTCGCCGACGGGAAACCCGCCAGAGGTGCGTGGGAGGCGAGCATGGTGTGCACGAAGGTAGTATTGGCAACGGGCACCGTGATGCCAGTGTTCGTAGGCACCGCTTCACCTCCGATAACCTCCATGATAGTTGCCACACTGTCAACATATTTATTAGTAGCTGTAGTCTCGCCGTTCGCGCGCACGCACTTTAGGAAAGGCGCTCGGAGTGCTTCGTCAAGTACACATTTATCGCGTCCGTGAATAACAACGCGTCTAGCGAATGCCCGGAGTGTCTCCGCGGGAGGCCGTTGATTCTGTCACTCAGACCATAGGAAGCTCCTAGGTCTGGAGATCGCGCGAGGCCTTCATTGAAGCCGATAGAGCTAGCCAGCGTCTGCCGAGAGTAGCTTCCCGCGCGCATAGGCGCGCATGCGTGTCTTACAGCAAACGAGGGTAATCGTTGTGTGCGCATAAATCTCCTGTCTAGTGCGTGTGTCCGCGACCTTCTCGGCAGCCCCGCTGGGTGCCTGTTAGGGAGATGGCGGCTCGTCGCCTTCCCTACAGCACCTTCTGAGGTCATTGGCCAGTCCATGCGAAGGTACAAAGACGATCTCCCAGAGTGAGACAGGAGTGCTCCGACTTATCCGCAATCTGGGAGGCTCCCAGCAGGCGTGACAGCACCACAAGGCGCTCGCAACTCCACCCGAAGGTAAAGTTCGGCTGGTTCACGGGAGCATCGGGTGACTAGTGACATCTCGTGGCGGCAGAGGATCCTGTCGTTTACACGCACTCAGATGGCGTCTCAAAACTGTCATTATGATGCACGTCGGCCCATCAGTACTCGTCCATGTACCATGAATCGTGAATCGTGACTTGCCGATATGGACCACCAACTGCCTTTCCATCACGGCAACCACACCTCAGCCACTACCATATAAAGCTGCAGCTGGATCCTGGCGATGCGCATGGCAGGCAGGTCATAGTAAACGATAGTCATGAATGAGGTCGAAGGGGTGTTTAGCACGTCCGTCGCCGCCGCCGAGATGTATGACACTCGCGGGAGCGTGACGGAGGGATACAACTTGGACGACGTTAAGCAGGGAGAACCATCAGCAGGATCTACGGACGCACCTCAATGCGTCGGTCCGGCTAGAACAACGCGCCAGTACTTGACCATCCAGATACAACGACTCCGGCGTCGAGCTTGTTCAAGAGCCGAACCCCGGCCGAAATGAATTTGCAGCTCGCACTCCCCATGCGCTTGAACCACTCTTTCGAACCCAGAGTCAATGCGATACCTGCAGCGGTGACCGTGAAGCCTGCATACATATAGTGAATTGCGGCGAATCCTTAAGCAGCGTGATGGGCGTCGATGGAAAGCAACGATCGAATAAAGTTCCCATGCAAGTTGAACCTTCCATAAAGGGCAATTAGCCTTGAATCCAGCCCTCCTCTTCCCTCGGCGCCGACGACGACCCAGTCTTGGGCCCGTGGCGTATTATGGTCCCTGTCTTCGAAGCGTAGGACACGATACGCCGGTATCTCCTTGTCCCTTTGGAGTTGGGCACGAGGGAGCCTAGAGTGGGAGCGAGAGCGGAGATGAGGGAGCGCATGTAGCTTAGCTATCAAGGCTCCCTTCGGCCTTCAGCTGTGTTGCGTCGTGTCGTAGCATCAGGGCAGTTGGTCCGAGGCATTCCCTCTCTACAGAATCGCTTGGCCCTCTCCATCTGGCCGGGGCAGGCGGTTGTGCCGACACAACTGTCGTCGCTCGGTTTTTGCTGTTACCTAGTTTGTGGCGTCTCGTCGGAATCACCATCAGCGAGTGCTGACTTAGTCCACTGGGGTGCATTCTGAGGGTCACCATAGATCCTTTGTGTCGTAATCCTTTGTGCCGTAGATCCTTTGTGCCATATTCACCTATTATAAACCTCTGGGGAGACTTCCAAGGTTGCATGGTCTCATCCCTTCTTCATTGCGTGTACGCTTCGAACTGATGGACTATCCAGTCTCGGAAACCATCGAGTCGGCGACAATTGCTCTTGAGCGCATCACCCAGTTTGCCGCCACAGAGAAGGCAACACAACCCAAGCGCAAACGAGCACCCTCGGCGAAACGTCGAGACCGCTCTTTTCCTCAGGTCAGAGCCGATTCGGTAAGTGCTTTTACGCATCGGTGATATCTCGATTCTCATTCACAGCAGTTGATGGCAGTGAATCAACGAATGGCGGATGACATCGAACGACAATTGCGGATTCTGCGGAACCTACGTGACAAGAAGTTGACCTCGGTAAGATACCCACGTGCATCAGCGGTACAAGGAGCCTCATTGATTCCGGGAGATAGCTGCAGAGTAGAGCACGTAATCTGCGTGACTGTTCCATCTGCCTGGAACGTATGAAGCGACCTCATTTGTAACCACCCTTCCGTCTCTATCATCGCAAGATCACTGACATTCGTTTGCAGTCTCCAGTCATGTCAGCACGCTTTCTGTGGGGAATGCATTGGAAGAGTCATGGCTCGCAATGCGATGCCCAGCCGCTGTCCTCTGTGCAGAAGTCTCATCGGCCAAGATGAACCACTGCGAGTCCCGGTCGTTGAAGATGCCCTGCGCACCCTGAACAAACTGACGGACCAAGAAGCTATCGAGACACCCGAGTTGGGTACTGTGTCATGAGACGGTTGCGACACACAAGGGCGGAAGATGGACAGTGATAACTGCGATGATGGTATTACATTGATAGATCCAATGGCATCAGGATATGCAGTATACGACGGAAACCGAACAAGAAACCCAAATACGAAGAGGCCAACAACTTGAAACCGACAGAGCTCTGTTATCGAGGACCGAGTCGTTGCATCCCGCAAGCTCTGTCCAGTCTTCAGATCGCAGGCCGTCTGTGGAAAGTCTTGAAGTGAGGGATGTTCCCTGCGCTCTAGTGCCCATCCCTCTTCACGTACTATGACGTTCCTTATGCCTCCATGTATCACGGCTCTTCAATCGTCGTAGCCCTCACTTCCATCTGCTTCCACTATGGCCGCTCTATAGCCAGATCACATTCCAGTCAACCCCTTCTTTCCTTCTAGGCAAGGTAAGCTCTGATGTGCCTTCAATTTGATCACCTTTCGATGTCTTCATTGGCCACTAAGGCATGGTGCACCGTATTCCCAGTTATAAGACGGTACGTGGCCACGCGCGCTGAAGCGGGTATGATTGGAATTACCGGCGCGCGCTCTCGTGTCGGTACAGTAACACGCGCACTATGCATCGGGACTATCAGCGCACCGCAAGCAGAATAGCAAACCGTACTTACTTCAAGTGGTTCCCATATGCGCTATGGACTGGGCAATCCCACAAACGAATAAGTTCACCGGGCATGCCTAAAAACTGCTCTGGGTGCGAGGGATACTCGCGTCAGGTGTGGCGACAGCGTGCGCGCGCTCGTTGACATCAATCAGTTGATGCGCCATATCCTTTGAAAGTCGCCGTTGGTGGGTCAGGCTGGAATTGAAAAGGCCCGATCGTCTAGAGATCAACATGTGCGGTGCATGTAAAGATCAGGGCAGCGAGGACGCCAGGCTTGTGCTTGAGACCGATAAACTGCTGATGGGAGCAGCGGAATGCGGATAATCGTCACGCAGTTCGATCAACGATTGCTGCTCGCAATGGAAGCTGACCAGAGAACGCACTTTGGGGGAACAGCACCGAGGGAAGTGGGCGGATGATGGTGGCGTCATGTGACCTTGGTTCTACTCGAGGTTCACGCAGGCTGTGGGAAGATGGCCCGGCCGTGTGCGCCGCGAGCTACGGCCCCGCGGGACGCAGAAGCTCTGTCCATCGTAACGCTCGGAGGAGCAGTCTGTCAGGTGTTCTAGGTGTCCAAAGCTACCAAACGCGTCATGGCGACGAACACGGCGCCATCTGGGAACGCCATGTCCGATTACCAAGTGCAACTAGTAAAGAGCGCCATCGATGAAGGCCAGTACGTGCTTGCGATCCAGGCGCTGAGAGGCATATGCGACTGTGATGGGATGATACCTCACAAGTGAGCCGACTTCATCATGTTTTCTCCCTGGTACTATACGCCGTTGAGCACTGCGGGGCATGCCCCCTTTAGAGACTTTATACGCCAGCTCCTCGTTCTTTCCCTATACCCTCTGGCGCGCGCGAACCCGGTACCATCTGATACTTCAGGTTCCACCCGTACCGCCATTCGGAAAGCAACAGGCTTGGCCAGATTTGTCACGTCGCCTGCAGTCGACGCTGCCAATGAGGCTTTGCGAGCATTCGCGGACAGTGTGCCCCTCGCTCATATGTTGTCATCGATACCGAGCTACGACGACCCTCCCGTCAGTCTATCTGTTGGTCATACCATGAACGTCCCTCGACATGAGTCTCTTCTGGCCGCTGAAGCCGATCGAATTTCGAATATCCGGTGCTGTTGGGACATGCTAAAGAACGGTTTCATACCCGCACCGAGTCACAACGATCGCGACATGCCCGAGTTCGCCCAAGAACACGATGCCTGCATAGGATCGTCGGCTTGGCCCGCGCTGGGTTGGATCGTTCGCCTCTTCTCGCAGGATGAGCGTGAGACCCTGCTCAGAACAGGAGGTACAGACTCTATCATCCGTTGAGCAAGTAGAGCTGAATCTCTGTTTCTAGATCAATATTCGCCGTTACTACTACGTCATATACCAAGCACGCTCACTTCGCGTCACTTAAAGTGGGACGTCACTGTGCCGCTTAGGATAGCCCTCTATGGAATCGCAGTGGACAAAACTCATGCTGAAGCCTGCGGTGTTTCTGAACAGCTTCTCAAACTCGTTAGTTGGGTACTCTCCTACAATGATCGCTCCCTCGCTCAATCATACGTGCAGCTGTGCAACCTAGCAGCTGCGGGCAAGCTTGACCAGGATCTTTTCATCAATGCGATCTCGAAACAATTTCCCACAGAAGATCACAACTTGAACCGTCTACTCACCACGCTCCCTCCACGTCTCCGATTTCTCACCTGCAGCTCCTGGTTGCAGAACCATGCTTCTGACGATGACGCGGAGGTTCATCACTCCCACAACCATGAACTTCCCTCCGTTTCCGGCTTAAGCAGTACTCTACGCATATCTAGAGCAGATGATCCGCCTGCACCTCACATCAAGTATCATCTACTCGCAACATACTGGACCATGAGCCGGCGCGAAGATAAGGCAGCCATGTCTCGGTCGAATGAGCTGCGGGAGGCCGTCAACGTGGCTTTTCATTCCTGCGACATTCTCAGAGACGCGATTCGGCTACTGGTGAGGGCCAGTCAGCTGTTCTTCGTGCCGTATACTGAGCCAAAGTTCTCCGCACAGATACTGCAAGAGCTGTAGCTGTATATATCCATCTCTGTTCTCGACGACGTCCATATGCTTGTCGCTAGCAGCTTCGTGCCAATGTATCATAGGATGCATCCGGTTTACGAACTTGATCGCGTGCAGTCAACGGTCTACGCGCCGGCCTAGAAGCGGAGATACATAGTCTGAGAAAAGCTGTCCCGCTAGCTAATACCCTGTGAACTACTGCGTTCTCATCTATATAGAAGGCAGATGGGCAATGCGGCATGGATTATCGGGGAATGAGCTTACCAAACCCTTTGACTTCTCGATCCACGTCTGCGAGTCAGGTCTCAGATGCGTGGGTGGTACAGCACTACCATAGCACGTACTTGGCGTTCGGCTTCCGACAGGTTCTTCCAATACTTATTGTACTCTCCGACAGTACCTGTGAGGTGGCTGAGCTTCCATTGGCGCCCACAGAGTGTCCTATAACAGCAGATTTGGACAACGCATATACGGATGGAGGGTTCATGGTCGTACTTTGCATGATTACCCGTAGGCGGTTCATAAATATCGCTGGCGCGGGGGCGACGCGGGCCAGATGAAGACGGTCTGGTAACAGCAGCACTCAGGCTCGTGACAGTCGCGGACACTGTGCTCCGTTCCGAGAGTGGTTGAGCTGTACTCGATGAGCCTATGGGGGGCGACTGTACAGATTGGTCTCCAGCAGCGGTGAGTGCCGCCGACTTTGGGCCGTCAGATATTGTGATAGACATTCGTAAGGAGGGCCTTCTCTCTTCACCACGAGTAAGATTCAGAACGCTCGATATTTGGGATCATGATGCCCACCCTGCAACCTTTGGCCGAACTGCACACGCTCGTACGGGGATCGCATATCAAGCCCAGCGGTAGCGTATTCGAGAGATTTAGGCATTGAAATCGAAGCGACGACGTCATCGAAGCTTCTAGTGCGACGTAACATTTCCTGTTCCGTATCAGCATATCTACCCCCATGGCTGAGCGAGTCACTAGTGAACTAATAGAAGGTACCTGTGGGTGAACTGGAACAGAGTTCTTCTTGAGATTTCCGTAGCTCTTCCCCATGATCTATCTCGAATGTGTTCAGTTCTACAGAGCGGCCTAATAGTGCACCGACCTTTGCTATCTTCGGAAGAGCTCGGCTATGTGCCTGAAAGCGCCTATTAGTGAATATGATTACGAAGTTTGAAGAGACGTAGGCACGACGTGTACCTTAGCCTGAGAGCCATCAACCAGCTGTACTTCTTGGTCATCAAGGCGAGAAGGACCCTGAGAATAGATCGGTCAAAGGCAGACAGGGCTTATTCTGAGGCCCGTACCTCAAGCACTGTTTGATCGAGACCACGGCCAGCATGCGCTGTGGGTTTCCATCCAGCACTCACAGCTCGGCCATGCATAGAGGCATTCTTCGAATAAGGATGATATCGCGAGGTAGCCGACGCGCTTTCGGAGTGGGGATCTCTTTCGTGGAAAAACGTATCTTGTCTACGCTCCCTGGCGCTAGAGTGGTGGCGCAAGCTTTCGAGTCGCGAATCAGGAATGCACACTGAAGTCATCGGGTTTGTGTGCGACATATGCGAGAGATTTGGAGGGTTGAATAGCGAGAGCCCGGGGTGCAAGATCGGGTTTAAATGGAGATGGGGCGTAACAATCCCGCCACAAGGAGGAATCGATCGCATTGTACTGCGCCTTTCGTCGAAAGTACATGTCAAAGGCGCGATATCTGCGATCCACAATAGATCAGCAACACCTTCGCATTGTTGAGAATGAAACCACTAGTGCCGGTCACGAGTTCGGAAACCGTTGGCGTTGGTTACTGCATTGGAATCCCTGCCGTCACTGTAAAAAGGTGTCAGCAGTAGGCGGTTGGTCATATATTTCCCCTATGTTATGCTAGCGGGCAGCGCCTGTGACATATCTCTGAACATCTCGCGTACTTGTAGTACATATTTTGGAAAGTCTCGCTTATCGATGCAGCTTGATGGTATACCAACCAACAGAACCGGAGACATCGACTGCAGTCTATATGCAACAATGAAGGAGGTCCATTAAGGGCGTGCTTGACCACCTTTAGCCACTACATTGATCCGACCCTACCACACTCCGCAATCAGCACTGGACGCATGTCAGATGGATACCCTTACAGGGATGCCAAAGCACTCACACATCGTCGTCCCTGTTCGCAGCAGCCCGAGTCGTAGCCCAGCCTGTAAGACCGCGTCAATTTAGCGGCGAGCGTCCAGCCTGTACGGGCCGCATACCTTAAGTGCAGCACCCGAAAGCACCAGCATGTCGCCATGGATGAGCGTGATGCGCAGAGCGTGTTTCCTCGCCGCAGCTTGAAAGCGCTTGTCCTTCATCGCCGCCTTCATCGCCTGCGGCGTGTAACTGACTTGCGTACTTGCGCCGAGGCATACGAAGGCAACGGTGGTCTCTGCACTGAACGGCGCAGCTGCGCTCGTACCCCGTATCGCTGCAGTATGCCTAGTTGGCATATTTGCTAGCGGCGCCAGGGGGTGGCCACCGAAAAACGGGCCAGCGGGGCTCGAGAACCCGCCCAATATCGTGGCGATGGCCTCCCCCCTCCGCGCCAAACGAGTCGGCGCGGCGGCTCGAAGTTCGGGACGCGCGCGCTGCCAAGCCTCGCCGAACGTGGACACGAAGCGACGCGCACCGGAGCAGCAGGCCAGATCATTCGCGCTGGCGCGCATTTCCAGAGATTTCGGGCTTTTGGAGCCGTCGTCTACGGTTGCATCAAAAACAACAGTAGCGGAAGGCCTTTGCCGCAGCATGGCGGCAAGCGGCCTCTCGGCGCGCCACATTGAGTGTACACGGGTAGCAATGCGCTTCACGCGACCCTGCTTGACCTCGGCGATGTAGAGTTGATCCTGACGCGCATCGGTCTGGACATTATGTTAATTATATATGTCTACCGCCACCACCGCTGCGAGGAAGCAGATGGGAAACGCAGTGTGAAGTGGAGGCGCGCGCCATGATGACATGGTGGTCAGAGGTAAGTAGCGTCCCGCAACGTAGATGCGTCTCATCTTCGTTCAACCTCCCTGCGATGCCGCCGACGATTACCTAGCTTGACTAGTGACTAGTGACTATGACTAGGTTTCCCACTTGCGAAATCCGTGTCAGGCACCGGCCCATCGGCGACTGCCGGAGTCGTGATCCGATCAACTTCTTCCGCTCATCCCGCTCAACGCTACGTCTTCGCCCCCTAATCCTATGCAGCAGCTGAAAGCTGACAGGCGAACAGCTCCATACTTAGAGGCGCGCAATGCAAAGTGGTAATTGTGCGGGCTCAAAACAGCCGAGCAGCTCGAAAAAGAAGCGCTCAGCGTGTCTCGCTGAGAACAACATGCATCGGTGTGCCGCGCCGTCGGGGCCGGCCTCGCAGATGTGTCTTTTCCAGTGTGCGAGCAGAGCTCACCAGTACCTCAAAGCCTATAGCAGTAGGTACCCAGGCTAGGTTTCAGCTGCGGCACGCAGCACTCTAGTTCGTACTAGAGAGTATTCCCAGCGGGTATTCGCGCCGATGTCGCTTCCTAGGTCGTAAACGACTAGCGACTTGACAATGAAATGAATTTGATTATCTCTCGCCACTGCGGTTCTACTCACGGCAAGCTGCGGGTCGCTCATACGGGTCCGGCGGGTTTACCGCGGCCTCGTGGAGGATCAGTATGAAGGTTATGAGGGGAGGGAGGTCCGAAGGACCTCCCCTTTGAGAGTAGTACTTATCTAGATAGTTCTAGCTTGTGTGTAGGAAAGTATGTAGGACCTCTGTAGCGAGTGCCTATCTCTAGGTACTTGCTGAGGGTGGGTTGAGGCCGAAGGCCGACGCGCGGGCCGAAAACGCGGTCACGTGACCTGCTGAAGACGCGTCCGCAAACCACGCCCGGGACTCGCGGGGGGGCGGACTGGCACGCGCGCACGACCAGGGCCTCGAGCTGCTTCACGCGGGAGATGCACTCGTACGGGTACGATCTCGAGGGGAGACCGGAGCCCAGAGAGCACCACCAGCGCGAAGCGCTATTGTTTCTGCCTAAGCAGAAAGGGAGGAGGGCGGGACGAAAAACTCTCAGACGCGCCACACGAGATGGAAGTGGGCGCGGAGAAAGAAAGCTCGGCGATTGCCGCCGCCTCGTGCTCGCAGTATAGTTGCGAGCACGCGTCTCTCACTGTACAGTCTAACCGATCTAGGTCCGGCCGCTTTCCGCCGGACCCTTCTATTCGCTTCAGCTTGCCTCCGCACAAGCAGTGCTCGTTCCTCGCACTGCGAGCACTACCGCAAGCTGCGGGTCGCTCATACGGGTCCGGCGGGTTTACCGCGGCCTCGTGGAGGATCAGTATGAAGGTTATGAGNAGGTCCGGCCGCTTTCCGCCGGACCCTTCTATTCGCTTCAGCTTGCCTCCGCACAAGCAGTGCTCGTTCCTCGCACTGCGAGCACTACCTACATGAGAAACGCGTTGGTCCGAGACTTCGAGCTCGATTCCGAGCCGTTCCGACGCGGCGTGCCAAGCCCGCGTTCAGGCGCCCGCGTGTGTCCTGCCTGTTGTCTCCCCCCAGCACCATCGACACCCCCGCGCGCTCGCCTTCGCTCATATGCTCCTCGCACCGCACCTGTAACTCATGGGATGTGTGAGAAATAGTATTATCCCTTGCATCGTCCTGTCTGATCAATTATAAAGGGCCGGGTTGGTGTTCGCGAGGGAGGGAGGGGTGAGTTCGTCTGGTTATTATATCAGTTAGCCCTCGCTGACCCTTCCACAGAAATCAATACCGCACACTGCCCTGCCCGACTCCTTGCCGAATCCCTCAGTACTCCATATTCCCGTCCGCTAGCTCGTGCTCGCGCTGCTGTCCCTCGCTCCATTATGACCTGGCGCTTATTAGTAGATACACCTCTCGGCTCCGTTGTCGTCGTGGTACCTGTTCTCACCTCCCCACGACCTTGCTCTTCTTCCACCATGTCCTGCCATGCATAGACTGCATGTATCATCTATCCAATACAATCAATATCATCATTGTCGTTCTACTTGTGAATTTCCGGCAGTTATGTACGGAGCTCACTGAAGCACCCAGTAGAACCTGGGTTTGGGCGGTTTAGGGCGAGTCAGGCGGTTAGTCAGCGTCCAACTCGCAGTCGCCGAACTCAGCCTGCGATCTTGCTGATTCCGCCCACTAGTTGCTCGGATACTTCATGTGTTTGGTACTTGTCGTATCGGCAAAATACTGGACATCTCTGGTCTGTGATAGCATGCTCTAAACATGGTGCATACATCGCTGGCTGGGTCGATTACCCGTGGCGCGTGTGGAGACGCGGGATACTACTGATACGTACTCGTCGGAGTTGATAGCCGCCTTGCCCCGCTAGGTTCATGAAGATGTAATATAGACGACTCTGGCCAACTGACATAAATTACGGGATCAGATCGATGATAGCCTGCGATATATGCTCTACATAAGTTGATGAAGGGGGGCCATAAAGCTAGCATATAGAGTATACTGGGGGCGGGGTGAAGGAGTAGCCCCGGCATCTAACTCCTAGAAAGAGTGCAACAACAGGAGTTGAAGCGACGGCGATTGAAGCAACATGTATGGTGAGCGCAGGGGTGTGAAGGTGGGCCATATTGACTATGACGGTCATTGCCACCGCAATATATAGCCAGCGACAAGAGTAGATCACAGCCAAGCATCTGTAAAGCACAAGAATCTCTTCATCGACCATGGATCGTGTTGGAGACGTGACCGGGAGCGGGATAGATGCCTTGTTTGAATCCACGTCGAAACTCGAATCATTGCAATGACGATCACTCCAGCGATCACGCTGGCAAAAGGTCTGCGCGGGATGTCTTGCGAGATGAAGGCTCGCATCCTGTGCCTCGCAGTTATCTGCTGGGGCGCCGCAATACTAGGAAGCGTAATGTAAGCACCTTGTAAGTTTCAGGGTGAGATCAGTGTTCTACTCACCCGCGAATCCTGACCTAGAGCCGAAAACTGTGCTCGGGATCCTGTCCTTATGCCAATTGTCTCATCAGACTCTGTAGCCCAAGTCTGAACGCCAGAGTGTCATCATCGCAGCATGATGTTCTGTAGATCATAGGGACGTACTGAGTGGCGTGAACAGCGCGACAAGGGTGGCGATTGAACGGTTCGAGAGCGATGCGACATGGTCAACATGAGTTTGACACGGCTAAGATGATTCGAAAGTACGACAACGGTCGATCGAACGAAGTAGTAGTGGAGAGAACCATGCCAGACGGCCGCGATACATATACTACCCTGCGCCTTTGACTCTGAATCAACATTGTCCCTGCAGTGCCTGTGGCCAATAACCACGTCGAAAGAGAAGTGTGCCAGGCTGCGCATCACGCATCACATTGATTGGCCACAACCAGAATATCCCTTCAGGCAAGTGGAGTGAGATCAAAAAGAAAGGCCTTCGCTAACGCAATCGACCAGCATTCGCATCTGAACCTAGTAAAAGCAAGGGACTTACAGCAGGGACACCATTCGGCTACAGGGCGGTATGATGAAGGGGCTGTCCTTTACCAGAGGAATACCACAAAGGAAGAATAGAGAACATCGTGGAGCACGTCAGGAGCGATAAGTCGTAGGATGGCCGTCCGATTGCCACGAATGGTAAGTATCGTAACGTGGGTCTCATTTCGAGCAATTGCTAGCGCGATGGAAAGACGCCGGCCGGGCAGCGCGATTGTATGGGCATGACATGCGGTAGTCTCCTTCACAAAGCGCCTTTTGTGTCACAAAGCCGCGCAGATGTGCGTTTTGTCGACTGGAGCTGAAACAAACGCGCGTGCCGTCGCGGCTGGAAGCAAGTCGCGGATGTTCCCCCGCCCCTGCCAAAGGCACGCGTCTGGAGCACTTACCCAAATAGGAAGGATCTGACACGTGGATGGATCAATACTGTCCCTTCCTCCCGCAATCTTGACTCTGCCGCCGATCTTCCTCGATGAGCTGGCTGCATATTCAGCGATAGACACTTGCGTTGCTTTGCTCTAGACAGATCATCGTGACCTGCGCTCGCTTGTCTGCCCGTCCTGACGGCCAATTTCTATACAGGGCAATTGGTAGAAGCGTCCGTACTTGGCTGATCAGGTTGAGAGTTTCCCCTTCTTTCGAGGTCGTCTTTGTCTTTCATGGTCATATAAGAGCGGCGCTGGTTGCCTTCGAACATCCCTCACACACCGATAGCATAACACTCAGTCGGCTTGTCGCCCCGTAAACAAGCGCCCTCTCAGTCGTTACCACATGGATGACAAGGAAGAAGACATAGGTATGCCGCTTCCGCATCAATCGATGAACTCCAGTTCTCATACGTGCAGGGCAGCGTGAAGTTGTACTCCCAGATGGACATGGCCGTGAGCCTTCTCTGACGGTACGTTTATTACGCCCTCCACTTCTCAAGGAAATGAGCTCATTCGCGAAGCAGACTCAGGCTACCAATGAGGCAATAGCACTGGATGTGCTCTCTGTTCTCCGGCAGATTGAGTCGAAGATCGATGCGGAAGTCCTCGCTAGAGCCGAATTAGCTTCGCGAGTAGATGAGGTCGCAGCGTCCCTACTATTGGTTAAGGAGGCAGTCACCAAGCAGCAAGAGACTTCCAAGGAGATGACTCAAGCCATCGCAATATCGGCCCGACGCCTACATAATATCGGGAGCTCCCTGCGAGCAAACCAGGCCGTCTTGGACCACCGACTATGCGTGTTCAATCGTTTATTGAATCATACGCTCCTCTCAAGGGTTGATTGCGAGACGGAACTCCTGATGAAACTCCGGGGCGTGTGGCAAGCCATCATATCCGCAGGCAGCAACATTCAGGCCGACGGGACTGCGACCTGCGTCACTGTCCAGCGGCACCTGAATGACTTCTACTCTCGGGTGCTCGATGGAATCCCTCCAGCCAATTACCCGATGATGATCAACCGTGTCATTTTGGTACTCATGATGGCGCTGCTAGCAACGGCGTTTGGGTTTCATCTTATATTTGTCTACGCCTCCGTCGGGTTCGCCCTCGGGAGTTTGCCCTTTCTGCATGTAATCGACTGAAAGGTTGTATGTCACTTGTATCCCGCAGGGGTATTATTTAACAAGCATTGCACCCGCAACTCGCTGGGCTACGTGCTATACAATGGGTGTATCGTGCGTTGCGTGCTCATCTGTTGTCGATCCCCAAGGCGTAAAATATGGGTGTTCCATCATGACTGCTGAGCGATACCTTTGGGTGCGCCCATATCTAACGTTCACCAAAGCTGTCGTCTTGAGAAACGCGCCTGAAGAATGGGTTCACGAGCACAGCATGCATGGGTGCGGATTAGTGAAGGGTGTATCGTACAAATAGCGGGGAAAAGGCTGCGTGAGCGGCGTTGGCAACACCCTCTCCCGGCGTCGGATCGTCAACGTGCTTTAGTCACTGATGCCAGTTCGAAAGGGTTTATCCAAGACCGCGATTGAATGCTTTCTCACGTAGACACCAGTAGTGTATGCGCGCCAAACTCTGATCTCCTTTTGTGGCTGTGGTGTTGGATCGGCACGGCGAGCTTGTGGTTCGAGTCAATGATTTCTATGAGCTGTTCCATGCTGAATAAGACGCATGGGCGGTTGTACGAATCGAAGTTGAGGTAGTCGACCAGGTCGACCAGGTCGACTAAGGCATGCCGAGCGGCCCGACATAGTGTCCGATGGCGAGCTTCGTCCGACTGCGTGTCTCGCCTCCCGTAGATCCGTTCCCGCTCTCGTCGAGAGGGTCGAGCGAGCCACCCTACCATGGTGCGCAGTTGTGCTGTTGGCGGAGTGTCAAGCAGAGACTAAAGGGTATTCGTGGAAAGACATAGAAACGTCGAGTCAGTAAAGATGATCAGAGATGGCGAGCCTTGTGTACGCACTTGGTGGTTATCCTGTCTCGACAGCCTCTTCGTGAGAGCAGGACTTGAGGCAGCGTGAATAATACGCACGGCAGCAAGAGCGTAGGTACGCGCAGACCGGGCAGGAGTTAGACGCTGTAAGAGTTGTGTGCGTAGTAAGCGGACGAAGTCTAGAGGATAGAGCTCGAGCGCACCGAACGTTGCGTGCACGATCTACGGCAGGAGCAACCACGTTCTCTTCATCTGCAATTCCATCATAACACAGACCTGGCGTCGGTGGTCCCAACCCTCTCCTTGCCGTTTTCTCGGCCCGACAGCCTACACAGAGGCTTTTCGAGTATTGATGCGCCGACTTGGCGAGCACGGGTGGTGAACGACAATTAGACCGTCAGGAGTGGGGTGTGAGAGGAGCCCAAGCCCAAGCCGGCGGCGCCGATACCAGCAGTGAAGCTTGAAGGTCAATATTCAATAGTCAGAGTTGGGATGAACAGACGCGCGAGGCGCCGGCGCGTCGACCCTTGGAAGCAAACCCCCATCATCGCACGCCGCCGGCGAAGTCGCACCGTGCGCGGCAGGGCAATATAACTTTGTATATCGACGTCCATTCTGGTCGGATGAGAACTACTCAACGTCAACCGCTCTACACCGGTCTTGATTACTACTTGGGTCAAGTAGGTACCAGAAGAGTGTATCATAACGGCGCTTTCAGTCTTCTGCCAGCTGAAGTACTTGCGAACATGCTGATAATAACCCATCCAGCATCTCCAAGGACACGGGTCTCTCGTCAATGACATCGTTGCAGCTAGCATGGGGGCAAAACGTCAATATGCGTGTTGCTGCGGCTGCGACGATCTGGTCGGCACATGCTTCGCATAGAGCGTGTGTGCAGGTGCTGATACTTTTTGACATCAGGCCTAGTCGGGCATTTAGCGATAGAATATTTCCTCACTTACATGCGGGGATGCACTGTGATCTTCTTACATGACGAGCATTGAAGGCTTGCACGAGTGTCTCTCTCCAGCTATGACCCCTTGTCAACGCGCGTCAGCACACAGTGCACGAGGGGCTCGCCTGGTGCAACGATTCTTGAATGATGTCCAAATCCCGCGCTGCAGAGGCAACGCTCGCCTGTATACCCTTGCGGACTTCCTCAAACCTCGGAATTTCCGCGGCCTGCGAATGTGAGTGGGCCAAGCTCAGTTCAGCATTACTAAGGCACATACGGTATGCCAGTCCTTGCCCTTTGTGGTCTCGACCTTTGGTGCTCGCTTACAGGCAATCCGCACAGAATCAAACTTGTTTCGAACGAGCTTGAAGACGTCTATGATTGCTTCTGGCATGGCGATAGAGCAAGCGAGGTGGAGGCTTCGGACGAATCAATTGCTCTGTATATGAACGAGGACTGTCAAAGACCTCCGCTTGACCCCTCAGCGGAGCCGCTATCGATCGATCGATCATCATGCTTCTTCCCTTCCTTTATGGCGACCTCGGGAACAGCTTCTTAACTGCTTTGTCTTTCAACATTCTGCCCTTTAAGAGCCAAGTCTTCGATTAGACTTGCGCATATAGGCATCCTCCCTGTTTCCGATACGACCCTCTCATTCTCTAGCCCTATGCTCTCACAACGGCTGAAGTCGCTCCGGGCCTTCATAGCTGGACGCCCTTTTGCAGGGACTCACGACATGTATCCTCGGCCGACCGTCGGAGTGCCGGGCATTGACAAAGACACAGTGGTATGATCCTCGCGGCACACGCTCTTGTGCAAGCTAACTTCGGCCAGGCACATCGTACAAAGTCTCTCGAGGAGACCCTCACAGTGGAGATCGAGCGAGCTCTGATGAGTGTTCAGGAGGACGTGCGAGATATCGCTTCCCTCTTACAGAAGGTTCGTTACCTCCTGTTTGAGCGCCTGATGACCCTATTAAATCAAAGCACATGTGCAACGCAGTTAGAATCGGCGCGCGACACCTTCTTGGCCTGTCCGGACTGTGGTAACGTCATGAAGAGGCCGTTGTAGTGAGTGAGCCCTTCTCAAAGCGTTACAGTATTGGCTAGATGACTTCGACACAGTGGGGAGAGATGCAATCATGTGTTTTGCGCGGACTGTTGGGCTTCACATTTGCGCTCGGAGCGTCGTTCGCATCAACTTGCACACTCATATACTTGTCGCAGCTCAACATGTGAAGAGATCATGCTCGAACCCCCTCGGGAGATCGCGTTAGTTTCCCTTATAGCGGACAAGGTCTGCCTGGTGGTGGGGCAGGGGCCTGGGAAATGTTGCGATACACCAACCACGTCGCTTCTGGAGTTCTTTGTAACCCGGTGACGCCTCAATCTGTGGTCGTAGCATGAAGTCATACAGTTTGAACACGATGAGGTCCCGTGATGTCGTATCCGAACCTACTTTCTTGGTGGGAGCGCAGTCTCTACAACTATCAGGCTCGGTTAGCCGTGATTGATGGGGTACAGACGAGACCAGGACAACTGGTGCAGAAATCAACAGCGTTATGCGCCACGGGTGGTGAAGAGCCCACACGCCTCCGAAGTCGTGTCTCTTCATACCTATCCGCCGATCCAGAAAAGGAAACTGGTACGGAAGTAAAGATGTAGAGATGGCGAGCATGAGGGACGGCCGATAAAACCGATGTGGTCGGACGCGCGCCGTGAGCTGTGGCGCGAATGAGTCCTCAGAGCAAAAAAGGGTGTGTCATTATCCTCCCGGCTCTGAACTTGACCTCCTGGTCAAGCTCGAGGCTGGATGAGTGAAGAATAAGTAGAAAGAGAAGGATATGTGGGAAGTATAGGCGAAGGGTAAGGGTGAGGAAGATCGAAGCAAGGCGCGGCCACCGCGGCGAGCACATCGGTGAGTGTTGTCGTCCGAGGCGCGGAGTTGCATGCGCGATGGCGAAAAGGCGCGGATACCGCCCACGATCTGGCACGGGAGCGATGTTACCGACGGCGCATTGACGTTGAGCGGGTTGTCTCGTTGAGACGGCGGAACCGAACCCGGGGCGCGTAGCGCGCTGAGGCGCAAGCGGGATTGCGGCGGAAAACGGTGAGGACGCGAAATGTGTCGGAAGGTCGAGCGACGGGGCGAACGGACGGAATACGCTATCGGCAGACGCGAGAGCGCCGACGGATGAGCAACGACAGGGAACACCGAACACGGGGTAAGCGACGGACTATGCGTGTTATGCGGTTTATCTTGAACCATCACGACGGACTGGAGCTGGGACTCGGGGACCATCTCTGGACCTGCATCTTCGACGGCGGCATCAGGCGGACTGGGCGTAGGCTTGGGGGATACTAACTTCCTGGGCGACAAGCGCGATTTGGACTCAAGCGAGGCGCCGTGATTGATGTCGGCGCGCATTGACTTCGGCGACGGGGCAATCTCGCACGGTAGCGTGACGGTCTTCTCAGCAGCGGCATCCTCCTGAGGCGATGACAGAGCGTGGTTTGGCGATACGGCGGAGTCTTCGACTGTAGCGGGATTGAACGTCGGTACAGCGAATGGCGGGGCTCAGGGCTCGGGCTCGTGCAGCTCGAAAAGCGACTGGACCGACTGAAGCGCGGCGGCTTCTTGACGGTGAACATCCTTCAAAGATAGCGGATCAACGGGCGGCGGCGCGGCGGCGTATTTGACGATATCTTGACTAGGCGACATCTTGACCACGGGATCCGTAAACTCGACGACATCGAGAACGGAGGACACTCCAATTGACGAGTCCAGAGGTTGCTCCAACAGCACATATGGTGGTCCAAGCTCGAACAACTTGTGCGTAGACGGGACGGAATCGGGCTAAACATGCGGCAACGCGGGCGACGACGATGGCGGCTCGAAAGCGTGTGCTTGCGTCTGTAATGAATCCGCTAACGGCGAATACGGCGGAGACATGTAGCCGGGCGAGCGAGAACGGGAAGGACTGGGCATCAGCACGTCGTTCGATCCAAATGCAGCGAGAGCGGCGTTTCGGGGCGTAGTGAGTAGTAATTCGCCACGAAATCGGAGTTGCGACTGTTGCTGATGCCCGCGCGAAGATACATCTGACTCATTGTCTGTTTCGTAGAGTAACGAAGGCGCGTGCACAGTGAGATCAAAATCTTCATCGTCGAACCAGCTTGCCGGATTCGGAATCGTGACGTCGAAGACGGCGGCAGACGTGCGGTGAAGGCCGTCGGATCGACGACGTATGCGTGCGTGGGCTCTTGCAACAGATCAAGAACGGCGAGTTATGAGAATACTGGGTGACAGCAGTGTCTGCAACCTTCATAGGATACGGCTAGTCTGCGTCCAAAGCAGATGAGGCAAACGCGAGGTACACTACGGCGCGGTCCGCAGGCAAAAGCTGAGGTGCGTCGGCGAAGTACGCGTCGCATACGTGCGGCTGGAGTATGTCGAGCGATACGAGTGGTTCGGCCAGCGCATCGAACTGGCGCTTGAAGCCATCGTTCTCGGCGGTGGAGACAATGGGCGAGAGGTAAGACTCATCGGCAAAGGAGTCGTCGAGGACGACGTAAATGGCGGAGGCGGGCACGGATGCGGACGTATCAGGCGTCGAAACGTCTGGCGTAAGCGGACGGGCAACATCGCGGGGCGAGGGCGGTACGGATACGAGCTTCGGACCAGCGTAGGGAATCGAGCTAGACCACGCTCTCTCGCTCGTCGTCCTCCTCCTCTCCGCTCGGATCGAATCGAATAGAGATGTGATAATTTTCGGCGTGTCAAGGGGAGGACGGTGAACGAATGGGCCGCGGGCACGGGCCGGGGTGGTATTGGTTCAGGGCCGGGGACGAAGGAAGTCCGTTGCCGAGGTTGGCGACGTTTTCCGCGGCATCATTCGCTTTGTTGCCCTTATGCGCCGCAAAATACTCGAAGCGGGTGGTAGCAGTGCGTCCGCGCGGTCATCCGGCATAGTTGTACTGTATATCCCTGCTGATACCAGTCCGAGCAGCGTGTGGGAGACCGAAAGCCCAGTGCGTCAGGCTGCAGATGGCACACGAGTAGATGATAAGCCGTCGGTTGAGCCCACATGCCCCAAGGGCTTTGACAACGGCATAGACCTCCCTGCGATCGTCGGTCAGACCTGTATGGCACTCGTTATGACTTATCACGGTCACTGCCCGCGCCAACTGCTGCGTCCTTCACACCATTTCAGTGACTTGAATCGTCTGCGTATACGGCCGTATCCCGCGTGCCCACGAGCACCTCTAGATCTGTCCGAGGCTCGCAATTGAGACTCGTGAGTGCCTTCGCTTCCTCCATGACGTGTTCGTAAGACCCTGTCGAAGTCGGTGTTAGCGGGCAGAGGGATAGCTATCCGCGCCTATGTATGTGCGGGCACGGCGCCACATCCGCGACAAGGCACGCCCCAGAGCGATGGTGTCTGGAGCAAGCGGCGTATGGTCCAAGACTCGTTTTCCGTCAACCGCTTTCAGCACCAGCTTGTTTGTCGATGTAATCCACTACGGCAGGACAGTTAGCGCTCCTGCTCGAGCTAAAGGACGTCCAGCCACACGAGCTAGGTCGAAGCTTTCGGTACAACCTAGGAAGTAGATCTTTGCCGCGCCAAGGATAGGCTCGAGGTTTGTAGAGACTGTAGCCGCCGGATCCTAGTCTCCTCTGCAACCAAAGATGTTGCGAACAAGAAAGAGTTAAATAAGAGCATGATTGACCCAATCATGCGCGACTAGAGCAATCGAAGTTTGGTCGAAGCTGAGAATCATGTTGCACGAGGTCGACACGTTGCACGAGGTTGGTAGTTGCCATTTGGGGTAATTGGCGTTTCCTGTCGCACGAGGTCGACATTTGCCATTTGAGGTAATTGGTGATCGTTGCCGCACGCCATGAGCCAACCCAGCCCGTCTATTCCTCCGTCAACTGCATTACCGGAAACACTTGTGTAAGTCTCTTCTGGATGATAAGCCCTACTGTGGCGCATGAAGCGAGCGATGCATGCTGATTTGCAGACGACAGTGAGCGATTGCTGTAACAGAGGGCACAACGCGAGAACCTGCCAGTGGACGACTCATGCAAGCCACGATGCATGAACGAATGAACAATCGTTATCGCGATCCATCGCTTGGATTCACAACAAAGGGCAGCAATGTTGCCGCTACCACTGGCATTGCACTACGTGGGCACTGCGAATGACTGCACCGTATACGGTGTGTGAGCGTTGTCTAGATGTACCGCTGGTCAATGTACGTCCTTACTCGAGAGACGTCAAGACGGTGCCAGCTCTGGTATTCACCTATATGATGCAGGACACGAGACTACAAAGGTATCGCTCCTTTGTTTGTCCTTCAAACGTGTGGCACCTCGGTATATAAGTAGCGCTTGTTCGATGAACGGTCGATCAGCGCTACGCGTCCCAAGATGTCGACGTCTTCTGCACTCCCAAGTCTCCCAACTGGCTTACAGCAGGGACTGCCTATTGCTTCGACACCTCCCATAGATCCGCGCACCAATCCGTTCTGGCAGGTCTTACCACCTGGTGGATACTATCAAGGACCATTTCCTCTCGCGACTAGCCTCCCGCAACCACAGCTTAGACTCGACTATGATGCGCGTGCCTTCCCCATCCTCTCTCTTCCGCCCCATTCTACTCAGTATCTCTTGGGACAAAACGGACAGAACGGGAATGCTATGGCGCCGCCTGTCACTCCCCATCACCTCCAGCCCCAACCTCATCCATCTCAGCCACAGTATATCCAGCCGCAGGCGCCTGATGGGGCCTTTCCACAGTTCTCCATGCCGCATGCGCCTCTTAACGCCCCATTCTGGCCTGCGTGCGATGCGCGTTTGCTGCAGCAATGGTCGCAACCACCGGCTCACGCGCAGGGGCTCCAAGGGCTCGACCTCAATAACCCGGTCGTCATCGATACCCTTCTCGCCATGACTCGTCAGCCTGAGCGTTCGATAGCTCTGCATCAGATGCTGGCTTACCAGGCTTGTCAACCGCACATGCCTGTCGGACTTCAGCCTACCTCTGACCCTCGGTTGTCGCATCCCTTACCTCCGTCTACTGTCGTCGGAAACGATGTCCTCAGCACCTCAACTCAGCCAGGACACGAAGACCAGGACGGGCAGCCCATGGCCGGTGACGATAACCTTGCCGTCGTAGGCACCTCGGGCCAGTCTGAACGGAAACGCAAGGGCGAGGAACTCACGCCCGAGGAGGACGTGCCTCCCGTAGAGCCGTGCATAACCGCTAAGAAGCCCAAAATCTCGAAGCTGAAGGGACCATCTGTACGCGCGCGCCACACCATTCAGCATGATATGTCCTCCTCTCTTGATGTCTGTGACGCGAACGAGAAGCCAGTCGTCAAGAGGGCGAAAGGCAACATCTTTGCGAAGATGAACGGCACTCCTCTGTCTGTTTATGTCTTTGATAGACTGTTCAACGGGATAATAAGGCGGTCCATCCTCAACATGGTGAAGGTACGCAGTTCCAGCTCTGACATGATACAAGGACTTACACCAAGATTGCAGACGCACGGCGGTAGATTGGTGGGTGTAGGCGATATCAAGAAAGCCGACTTCTGCGTCATGGATCGCGGCAACAGCAAGGAGTATCGCAAGGTGTACAAGCTGGTTGTAGATGCTAAGACGCCCATGGTGAACGTGGACTTCGTCTCGTCCTGCGTCAAAGCTGGTCAACTACTCCGCTTCGCAGATTACACGCCCTTCCGGAACTCGGTCCATGTGGTCAAGACCAGACGCTCTACTAGACTGTCGGCTTCCGTGAACGAAGGTCCAAGTAGGAAGAGTGAAGAAACTGATATCTTCGGCGAGGAAGACAGCGGGAGTGACAGCGGGAGTCCAGTCGTGTCATCCGACGAGGAGCCTGAACCCAGCAAAAGGGTGGTTCCTTCCAGACGGCGATCAGACAAGACACCCGCGACCTCGAAGGATACGCCCGCACCCGTTGCTCTATCGGTCCAACGTCGCTCGCCAGAACCGCCACAGAAGACGGAAGTCGGAGTTCGGTACAAGTTCACGGAGGAAGAGATGGTGTGGGCCTGGCACAAGATAGGACGTATGGCTCGGAAGGACGCGTACCTCAACCTAGCGAGAGCCTCTGAGGGGCTTGCGGAAAAGGTCGGTTGCTTCATGATCGAGGGGGGTGAACGTAGGCTGACCGAGAACCATCAGGCGCCTCACCATTCAGCAGCGTCTTGGCGCAGCCGCCTTGAGCGAGAGCATGTCAGGTTCGAAGAACTCATGACTGACACCTATCCACCCAAGATCGCGTACCCTCGTTCGTTAATGCGGGAAATAAACCGATCATCACGTAATGCAGGGCAGCCAGCTACGACGATAACAGGTCCGGGCGAGACACAGGTCAACGAGTCGGTTCCTGCTCTCCAGCCACGCGAGGAAGAGGACTGCCAAAAAGTTGTTTCATTCTTGATGACATACGAACCGCCCACCGAACTTGAATTTGCAGGAGATCAATTCATCTGGCCGGTCCTAAACCGCGAGTTAGAGGTGAGTGCGTAGCCAGGTACATGAAGAAAGACACTGATGACAACCTTAAGCCGTGCAAGTCGCGAGCTTCTTGGCAAGAGTTCTGGGAGAAGTTCCAGCACGATATTCTGCAAGGGGTGAGAAATAGGGTCTCGGTGGTAGACGCTGCTGGTTGAGGGAGTGAAACCAACCATATATAGACTGGGTACTCAGATTGTACTTTGACGAGCGGTTTTATTTCTTGACATGCGTTGACTTTAACGGGTGTGGAACGGTCCAAGAGTGTATAGCAAAAAATATGGAAGATTGAAACAGGAATACCGCACATTCGTCACTACGACAGAGCTACAGTGGGAAACCTCAAAGCATTGTATAAATCGTGCTATCATAGACAAAGAGCCGCCGATGAAGTTTGAAGCTTGGAGCTCCGGCGGGAACGCCACGGCAAATCATCGGCGATTTTGCGCGACAGAAGGGCAGTGTTTGAGCGTGATACGTTTCGGATATCTTGTATTCCTGGGGCTGGTCGCTGAGGCGCTGAGGAGCCAAGAGGTCGGAAGTTCTGCAGGCATTGGCACCGGTAAAGATAGACGTCATTTATTGCGATTTTGAGAGGAACCACTAAGTTCGTGCCTTTTGCAAGCTGCCGCACCACTGCTTCCAGCTATAATGCGAACCATAGTGCAACGCAATGGGAGCGAGGGATGATACATGATGGACAGCAGCGGGTGGTGAATGGTGGAGAGAGTTTAGCTGCATGCTGACTGAGACGGTTCTTGGATGCGTTCGGCAATGTCCGCACCCAATAGCGTGGCGCGCACTGGCGTGAAGTCTTCGTGCCCATCTTCTGTTCGTCCCACCACGGTCTCCCAGTAATCTCAATCCACGACCGTGTCACGCGTCCTCTGTGCATGTTGCGCTTCCACTGTGTCGCCTCGTCAGCCGCTACTGTCGCGTCCGGAACAGACAACCTCGAGGGCTTATCAAAAGCCCAATTGGCCTCCACCGCCGCGTCCTAGACCTATCCGACCCCTCTATGGTCACACCTCTGTACGCGGGCTCAAATCCATGCCTATTCGGCATATTTCCATCACGCTTGCACTCCACTACCTCGCCAGGGACCGCCTTATTCTTATACGACGTGCCGTGGAGAGCGCGGTCAACCGTGTGTTGATCTTCCCCCGGCTCTGTTCGCTCTACTGATTTCGGGCTCACTACCACCCGCGCACGCCTTCCGCGCCAACGGCACCGTCGACAGAGTTATCTTACTAGTCGATCAGTCACTCCGTGTTCAGCCTCTGCACGACAATCAGACCTTGCCCAGACTGGAAGCGCAATTATATCGGTCCTCCCAAGACGACACTCATGCAATTTCGCCACTACCTCCACCTCAGCGATAAGCCCGAGTGCAAAGCCTTCATCCGAACACAAGCGAGTGAACACCCATTCGCGCTTGAGAAGTTCCGCTGAGGTTACATACACAGCTACAGGAGTAGTGGCTGGCTAGCGCCGCCTTTGCTCCGCCTCCGCTGAGTTGCCGGAATAAGCGCTCTTGATCTGCAGAAAGGACGATAGGCTGCGTGATACGCGGGCTCTATATTTCGCTCAAGTAGCAGCTCGATGGCCCGAACTCCCGAACATCTTCCACGTTACACGCTGTATAGATATTGTAGTCCTTACTGCCCTTATAGTTTCGTCCGAGAAGTGGGGTGTACAGTATTATTGTCTTTGACCTAGCTAGCCCTTCAATACAACTATCATCTGCTATATATGTTCTGACGACTCTTCGGCCGCCCCTAACATGGTACACCTTTCATCTCCTATTGCCCTTTGTCGGTCGATTCAGGACGGATTCATCGTGAACAATGGAAAAGGGGTAAATCTTCATCCTTATCCTCAACTCTCAATCGCTCTTTGTCTCATTGTCATGTCCAGGATCGCTCTTGAGGATAAATACGATGCTTCATGCTGCGCCACCGCCCGCCACTCTCCCCCGAGTCCCGCCACCCAGAAGTTTACTCCCCTGCGAGTCGTTTCTAGTCACTGGTTATTACAGCGAGGGCTCCATCGGTACGCTGTCTACTTTGATACATGACCGAGCCCCACTCACTGAACCGTCCTCCTTGACATCCGCAGATACAACCCAGTTTGTCACAATCAGACGCCAGATGGACGTCGACGCGACTTTGTCACCCGTCAGGAATCTCAACGATGACGTTCTACGCATGGTCTTTTCTCAGTTGGCGCTCATATACCTTCCTGGTACCAGAACCTTGGGATGGATGAAAGCCTCGCACGTATGTGTGCGGTGGCGTGTCATCATCCTAGCTATGCCACTCCTCTGGTCCTGCTTGCGATTCACACGTCTATCCGAGAGCGCCTGGCACATTGTCGTACAGCGTTCGGGTAATCTCCCCCTTGCATTGCGATTGGACGATATTGTGGGTCATCCTTCTGATCGCCACTACGAATTCGCAATGGCGCTAGTATCTCGCGCCAGCTCGTTTCACTGCCGTTTAAAACATCCCCGAGAGCTGAAATGGATATTCCAATTGCCCAATCAGCCTCGGGACCAGTTAAAGGACCTATGCATCAATTCGTGCTTCAACCGCTTCTCCTTCACATGGGAAGAGACATCCCGACTACTCCGCCGTATGCAAACACTGGTAGCTCCGAGCTTGGAGAGTTGCGAACTTTCAATCGACATCCCGCTATTAGCACCCAATCTTCGCTCACTCACTCTTACCGGGCCATCGTTTCATGAGTCTCGGGCAGATCACGAACATCTTCCGTTATCGCGTCTGCTCCAGGTGCTCAAATCATTCCCGCAACTTCAATTCTTGTGGTTGAAGGGGAATCGGCTCTCCATCGACAGACCTCCCCCTCCTGAACGCATCACCATGCCTCACATGCGCTGTATCCGTATCTGGAAGGAGCATTGCGCAGAATCTGCAGCACTCTTGAACCATCTTCGCTTGCCTTCGTATACAAGCTTTCATGCTTCATTACACCCCTTACAGTCCCCGACTGAATGCATGGGTCTCGTTCGATCATTGGTGCCTCAACTCTCGGTGCCGGAAAGAACCGCTCTCCGCATTGTTCGACCACCGGGAGCGAACACGTTGGCCGTTCAAGTCGAGACATCTTGTGTGTCTGCTCCCTCAAGCGGTTCTGTGTTAGCGTTCGAGTCTATGCATCGTGCGGAGCCTTACCACATGGCCATAATGCTCCGTTCCCTAGCTCTGACACTGTCTTCTCAAATCGAAGAGGTGGAGATAGGCACTTTCATATCGCGGGAAGACACGATGTCTCCAGATGCGGCGACACCTCATTTGAAGATGGATCTCGATGTTTATATCTTGGCTGGGGCGTTATCTCCCCTGAATGGTGTCAAACGTCTTCGACTGTCTTTTCGAACGCGAGCCTTTCTGCGTGTCTTGACCGGTAATCTGGAAGGGAACATCGCATTTCCTTTATTGGACCTTCTGCATATCGATCTGAGTATCGACTTATATCCTCAAGCCCCCCCCGAATTCACCATTGGCTGCAATAAAGACCTGGAAGAAGACGTCGATTTTGGGGGATTGCTGAATGTAATATTGAAGATCCGCGTCAAAGCATCGGGCGGACGTCGTCTGCACCGCATTGTACTTTCAGGACGTCGTGTTCCCGAGGTTGGGTTGAGTGTAAGCCAGCTAGAAACACTGCGGAACTGGGTAGAGGAGGTGGTCGACGATCGCACATAAAGTGACAGAGCAGTGAACTCGTATATTTAGCACAAGCCGACGCCGAGGCATATGGTGAGGCGTTGGAGTAGTGGCGGATGGGCCTAATACCGGTGCTGTATGATATCGGATTTTGAGGAGATGCATATATAAGCTGGTAGTGATACATACAAATTGAAAGTTCCACAGACTGAAGCATTAAGGTCGAACACGGTGAATACGATTCATAGAGTAAGACCCAAAGAGAGGGGCGGATCGCACGCGAGGTGCTACGACAGCACCGACATGCAGGGCTCTGTGTCGGCCGCCGAGAGGCAGAGGTACAAGCTCCTCATGCCTCACAGGCGCTCCCGAATGGTCCCATGGCATTAGACAGCCCTATAAATGGCTTTGACGTCGCGAGGAATCTCGCAGATGAACCGGACGAAGCGTAGCTCCGCGAATTCGTCGCCGTAACATGTAGTGACCAGCGGGAGAAGATAATCATATCCTCTCGTGCTCGCGCTTTGATTCCGTGCCTTTATCCTTGCGAACTCGGAGCGCGGCAATGAACGGCAGCGCACTCTGCGCAGAGACGGGCCAACCCGGCAGGTACGACCTGCTATTCCCTTGCTGTTGCCCATGCGCCGACATCCGACCTCAGCAGCGATTGGTGCGTGCCGTAGGGTGAACAGGCAGAAGCAAATGCTCAGCTGGCTCGGCGCGGCCATGCCTATCTTCGTCCGACGTCCCGTTCGAGTCGTTGCGATTACGCCATGGGGCGCGCGCACGTTTGGGCCAACTGCACGCGATACCTGCCCACCAGAGCAAGTGCTGATTGCACTACCGCGACACGACGCGTGGGAGAGGATACTGGGCGTCGAACTAGCAGCGCGGACACGAGAAGCCCTCTACTTGCGAAGACGGGGGCAGTGTAATTGCCGACATTGGACGAGCCGACGAGCGCCTTAGCGCCATATCCGTCGTAGTCTTCGTCGACGACGCAGTTCGCCACGTTGACAGTCAGCGCAGATAAGCTCAGCTTCGGGCTCTGGTCTAAGCCGCCACCGTTTCGCGAGCTTTATACAGGCGGCACGACCCAGACGGCTCTTGCAGATACTGGTAGGGCTTGGGCTTGTTCAACGCGTCCCTGTGGGAAAGGTGCACTACGTGTGGACTTCCTGGGGTGAGGAGATGGCGGAGGCGGAGCGCCGCTGTTGACGTATCGCTGAGGCGATGACCCGTTCTCGAGGTACCTACTGCGTGTATCCACTCGCATTGGCTCGCCACATATGCTCGGGTGCTTGCCCGGGGAGATAGGCGGAAGATAGCCGGGGCGCAACTCGTAGTAAGGCGACAGCTGGGGCACATGCCAGAGCCAATACTAGCGCATCTCGCATTGATGTTCGTAGCCGCGACACCGCCATTCTCCATCGGGTTCGCGATCATGGCGGGCG